TTTTTTTAAAACAACACTTGGAAGCCTGCTAGAGAAAATATTTGGAAGGGATCTGAAAATGATTTTCCGTTTTGAAATGCTGGTGTTTGCTTTCTCTCTCTTTATGGTTTATTCTATCTGATAAACATCTCTCTTTATTAGGCATCTGAAGAGATAGTCTCAAGATGAACTTCTTCCTGGAAACACTGAAGGTTATTGGACTCTCTTTTTACTACTTTCTGGAGTCGCTTGTCTTCTTGATCGTGCCCAAGAGAAAGAAGAATGTCAGTGGTGAAATAGTACTAGTAACAGGAGCGGGCAGTGGCATTGGAAGATTGTTGTCTTTGAAGTTTGCCAGCCTTGGAGCCACAGTGGTTCTCTGGGACATTAACCAGGAGGGGCTCAAGGAGACAAGCAGACTGGTGAAACAAAATGGGGCGGTGAGAGTGCACTGTTACATCTGTGACTGTAGCAAAAGGGAGGACATCTACAGAGTGGCTGATCAGGTAAAGTATCTTATTTGTGGCTTTGACACTGTGCTAAGGTGTGTGCCTGTAAATCTGAGTGGCTTCAAAGCAAGAGAGAAAAGTGAACTAGCTCAGAATGGGTAGCACATGCTGTTTTTGAGAATTGACTTGTGTAGCTCTGACTTTAAAAATAGCAAGAGCTGGTTCTCTTTTTCAGGACCTAGTTTCAAGTGGGTAGTGTCTCATTCTTTCAGTTACTGAGCAAGCACTTACTGGTGCAGTACAGAAAAACAACTGATTGAAGCTAAAGCAGTATTTCAAGTTCTGGCAGCCTTTAACCAAAAGTAAACCCTGAAGACCACACACTGTCAAAAGGATTAACTGTTTAGGCAATTTTCAGATAATTCCATGGCTGTGAGCAGATTTTTGCAGGCTTGCTTTATCAGAATGGATAAAGGTATCTTGCAGCATTAAATATTTCTTGTTTCCCTTCCTTGAAGAGCTTTGCAAATATCACATGTGATTAGATAGTTTGTGCAGCGTAGTAGAATTGTCAAAAGCTAAAATTGCTTAATTGCTTTTCTTTGTAGCAGCCCCTTTTCACTTGCATAAGATGTTGCTAAACTTAACTGTTGGACTAGAAAGTTTCTAGAGTGAGTGTTTTCCTGAAGGTGACTTCTTCTTTTGGTGCTGTTTAAGAAGCTCTAGCCTTCTGCCTTTTTCTATCAGTGCAAAAAGGACTAGAGCAAACTTCCTGATAAGTGAAGCTTGTGCATGACTTGTAACTTGTTAAAGGCTGGTAGTTTTGCTTTTGTATTCTGGTAATGCTGATCACTCTGACTTGAAATGTGCAATGTTTTGATTATACTGCATCCCTGGCATGCAGTATAATCATACAGATTTGACATACCCGAGTCTGGTGACATCACCTGAGGATCTATGC